TGTGGGGTGTGTTGTGTGTGTGTGTGTGTTGTGTACTCCCTATTGTATCACCTAGTTGGGTTTGGGGGTCGAGCCCGATCCGGGCCCCCCCTCTTCACTGACGTACTAAGTCACTCTCTGACCCGTGAGTTTTTTCTCCTTGTTTAAAAGCTATGTATGGATCGCCTCCCTACATCGTTCCCCCAAACTATTCCATTTATGACTACTTGGGGCTGAAGAAATCTTCCTAAATCCCTGTGATTCTCGGTTTTTCAGCTTAAACTGTGTCCCCTTTTTTTACTGTGTCCAATCTCTGGAACACCTTCTTTGTCCACCTTGTCAATTTCCCTCTCAGTTTTTTGAAAGCGTTTTCATGCCCCCCCCTTCTCTCCTGTCCTCCAGTGTCGTCGGGTTGTTTTCCCTTTAACCTCTCCCGTGGACATACTCTTAGTTGGGATATTTTGGGTTGCAAACCTTTTGCATTTCTCTAGTTTCTTCACGGTTTGGGTGGTGGGGGTTCAAACGGGGCCGCTTTCTCCAATATGGGCCAAACATACACGGTGTAGGGGCCTGAATGTTTCCCCTTTTTAAAGAGTCGGAATGCTTTTCTGAGGTTTCTGGGGCCCCCATATGCTGCAGCAGTTATTTGGTTGATGTGCGCTTCAGGAGATGTCCTGGTGTTATACTCACCCAATCTTTTTCCTTGAGTGATTTTGTAGTCTTGACCCCCTAATGTACTCCTTCTGGGCCTTCTTTGCCCTTTCCCCCAACTTCATGACTTTGCATTTGGGGGTTGAACTCCAGGAGAAAATTGCTGGACCAGGTCTGCGGGCCTGCCAGATCCCTTTGTAGTTCTGCCTGGTTTCGATCGAGTGTATTTCTCATCAACTTCACGTTCTGCAAAAAAGGGACACCTAGAGTTATTCCTTCCGTCTGTGTTCACAAATACCCGAAACAGCACTGGTCTAGGATGCCCCCGCGGGACCCCGTGGGCACAGGTGCCCATCTGACACCTCGCCACGTACCATGACTCGCTGGGTGTCTTCCCTAAAAAGTTTTTCCCGATCCATTGTAGTGCCTTCCCTGTTATCCCCCGCTTGGTCCCCCAGTTTTGCACCAAACCTTGTGTGGAACTGTGTCCCCCCCAAGCCTTCTTGCTCCAAAAAAATGCAACCCCCCACCCCTCTTTCTTGCTTTCTGTGTCACCCCTGTCATAGAACTCCATAGGTTTTTGACACAGGATTTTGGGCCCCCGAAACCAGTTGGCTGCTGTTGAGAGATCATTCCCTTTTCTAGGGTTCCACCCCCCTTCTCCGATAATCTTTCCTGATTTTGCATACTATCTGTCAGTGCACTGGTCTGTAGTTTAATCTTCATGCTGTTCTTTTTTAAAAAATTGGGACTAAATTTGGTCTTCCCCCTCAGGCAATCCCTGTTTTTGATAATGGATTAAAATTTTTTTGTTAGGGGTACCTGCGCCCCTGCCCCTCTCTCAATACCCAGGGGAATTTTTATCTGGCCCTTTTCCTTTGAGGTACTAGCTCCTCAGAAGCCTCTTCATTTTCCTCGGTTGTGTGCACTGTGTCCAACTTGGTGGTGTGCCCCACCTCTCCGTCTTTCTGGGTCCCTTTGTCTCCTCGTGAACACTTCTTTGGGTCTCTTGTTTATTCTTTTTCATATTACGGGCATTTTTTGTTTTCTCTCCTCCCTTTCCTTCCTTTGCCTGATTACCTGGTCCTTGACTGTTGTTTTCCTCCTGATGTGGGTGTACAACAGTTTGGGTTTAATTTGGGTTTTGCTGCTTGTCAAATTTATATTTTCTTTGGGCCCCCCTTCTTATCTGGGCATTTTTGTTTCTGGGTTTCGATGTTCTCCCTTTTTCCCTGGGGCCTTTGCCTTCTATATTTCTTCCATCCCAGCACACTTGGTTTTTTTCCCCCCTACCTTTGGGTTAAAACCAGGGCTCATCCCGGCTTTTTTTTAACCCGTTACCCTTGGGTACAAACCTCTCCTCGCCTCCTTGCATTTTTTGTACATATTTCCCTCTCTCATTAACTGGGTTTTTCCCGCCATTCTCTGTCCCACTGAACCCAGTTCAGGTAGTTCCTCATTCCTGTATAGTCCCCTTTCTTGTACTTTGGCTTCATTCGTCCTGGCCTTCCTGCTTCTCCCTCCACTTGTAGCTCTACTGTGTATTCGAAGCTTAAAACCACATGGTCACTGGCCCCAAGGGGTCTTTCATATGTGTGTGTGTGTGCGTGTGTGTGTGTGTGTGTGTGTGTGTGTGTGTGTGTCTGTGTGAGTATGTGTGTGTGTGTGTGTGTGGTGTGTGTGTACTCACCTAGTTGTGGCTGCAGGATCCCGCCTCTTCACTGATCATTACTAGATCACTCTTCCTGCTCCATGAACTTTATCATGCCTCTTCTTTAAGCTATGTATGGATCCTGCCTCCACTGCATCACTTCCCAGACTATTCCACTTCCTGACAACTCTGTGACTGAAGAAATACTTCCTAACATCCCTGTGATTCATCTGAGTCTTCAACTTCCAACTGTGACCCCTTGTTGCTGTGTTCCATCTTTGGAACATCCTGTCTCTGTCCACCTTGTCGATTCCTCTCAGTACATATTTTATATGTCGTTATCCTATCCCCCCTTTCTTTCCTGTCCTCCAGTGTCGCCAGGTCGATTTCCCATGAACGTGAGGAAAATGATAGTGGGAGAGATATATGGCTCTAATAGACGGACTAGACTCAGACTGAAGGGGAACTAAGCCACTTGGACGACATACAACTGAACAGATGAATCAGAATTGGAAGGAAAGGGACCTGGATGAGTTGCGAGACCTGGAGAAGGTGGGAGAACCGGGCCAGGTAGGGAAAGCAGACTAGATGGTGGATCTTGGCCAAGTGGTGGACCTTGTAGGTGTCTCGTAGCTCGATAGCTACCATACTCAGCTCACACACGCTGAGGTCCAGGGATCGATCCCCCGGTATGGCTGAAAACATTAGGACGAGTTTCCGTAAGACATCTGCTGTCCCTGTTCACTCATTAGTAAAATAGATACCTGGGTGTTAGTCGACTGATGTGGGTCGCATCCTGTTACAAAACTGACCTAATTTGTCCGAAATGCTCTGCTTTACAAGTAGTTTTCTATATAGTAGTATGTATACAGCCAGGCCTGTATACCTTGTGCATGTACTTGTAGAAATAAAGATATTATTATTATTATTATTATTATTATTATTATTTATTATTATTATTATTATTATTATTATTATTATTATTATTATTATTATTGGCCAAGTTAAGGCCCTGGACCCATGAGAGTGACCCAAATTAGAGTGGAAGAGACCTTGGCCAGGTGTGACATCTTGGTTAATAGTTATATCATAGAAAGGGACCATTAACGAATGTAACTTACACTTAAGAAGAAGATGCTGCATAATGACCTCGCCTCACCATCAGGTCTGGGGTGCGACAACATCACCCAGGAGGAGTGGCAGAGGGTGGCGGGAGAGCTGCGTGAAGTCTTTACCAATATTGGCTTCGCTTACCTTAGCAACCACGGCATTCCCAGCGATCAGGTGATCTTTCAGTATGATAAACGGTTTAAAACATATATATAAATTGCACATACGTAAATAGTGTAATAAAAAAAACTGGTTATTAAAAATGCATTTGCTTTATGATAGGTTAAAAAATATTCACCTTAAATTAGCCTTATGAAAGACTATTCAAACCCATGCTCACATTAACCATATCTTCACTGAACAGTTGAATCATGTCATCAAGTCAAGCGCTGCGTTCTTTGACTTGAACGAAAAGACGAAGAACCTCTTTGCACGAGACCCAGAGACACAGCAAGGATATGTTGCAGTTGACAGAGAATCGTATGTATTTTACGTATTCATTACAACCTCTTTAAGAGTTAGTTTGTCTGAGCCACTTTAAGTTACTTCATCACAGCATCTTAACAAGTTACTACATCACAGAATCTTAACAAATTACTACATCACAGCATCTTAACAAGTTGCTACACCACAGCATCTTAACAAGTAACTACATCACAGCATCTTAACAAATTACTGCATCACAACATTGTAACAAGTTACTACATCACAGCATTTTAACAAGCTACTTCATTATAAAATCTTAACACAGTAGTACATCGCAGGTTCTTAATAAGTTTGTGCATCATAGCTTCTTAACAAGTTGGTATACTACAGTCTCTTATGGGCTTAATATATTTTAGTCTCTAACCGAATTAGGCAGCTGAGTAATCAACATTTTCTAGAATGCCATTAACTGCTAAGATGAAACGTCGATATAAATCTTTTTAAGAAAAGCAAGGGAGGACCGGGAAGACCTCATCCACTTCACTGGATCAATCCATTCCACCAGTTGAGGAGAAAGACTTAGCTCCCACTGACTTCCCAGACGAGGCCAAGCGTTTGTTGACACAGTTGAACAAACGTGGTAAAGCCATTGCCTTACCAGGTGAGAAAATGGGTACAACGAACTTATTGTCCCATCATATCCCACTTGAACCTGGTACTAGACCTATCTATATACCTGTTTACAGAATGCCACATTCACAAGTTGCTGTCGCAGAAGAAAATGATCAATCAAATGCTTGATGATGGAGTTATTGCACCCAGCAATTCACCTGGAATACGCCCTTGATCCTAGTACCAAAAAAGGATGGTACTTGGCGCCCAGTGATTGATTTAGGAAGTTAAATGCTAGAACTATTCCAGATCGCTTCCCACTTCCTGTACTTGGTGATCTTTTTTGTAACGTCGAAGATAACAAAGTCTTTTCGACTCGGGACTTGTTACAAGGGTTTTGGCAAGTCCCTCTTCACGAGGACAGTCAAGAGCTAACTGCATTCTCCACTCCTACAGGTCATTATCACTTCCTCTGTATGCCCTTTGGATTACCTTCCCCATCACATTTCAAGGGTCATGACTAATATCTTTAGAGGGCTCATAGGTAATGCACTTATGGTGCACTTAGATGACATAATCGTCATGTTTGAAGACGTGGATACACACTTGAAAAGACTTGATGTAGTACTTGGTAAGCTTGAAGAAGCCAATTTAAAGATCAAACTGTCTAAATGTCAATTTTTCAGATCAGAAATCAAGTTTCTTGGTCACATAGTCACTCCTAGAGGGGTTACGACTGACCAAAGTATAGTAACTGCAGTACTAAATTTTCCATCTCCCAAAGCTGCTGATGCCGTAAGATCCTTTGTGGTCTAGCAGGTTTTTTATAGATCTTTCATTGCCAAATTTTTCTTCCATAGCAGCTCCTCTGAGTTGCTTAAGAAAGATGCTCCTTTCGTTTGGACCTTCCATCAAGAAAAAGCATTTCCAAACTCTAAAATAAAAGCTAACTTCTGCTCCAATTTTGAAATTTCCAGATTTTTCTAAGCCCTTCTATCTGACAACTGATGCTAGTTCTACTGGCACAGGTGCCGTACTAGCTCAGAAGACTGATGGCAAGTACAACGCAGTTGCATTTGCTAGCCGAGTCCTTATGAAGGCTGAATGTAATTATACAGTAACTGAGCAAGAAGCTTTAGCAATAGTATGGTCTTTAAAGCACTTCTGAGACATTATTTTTCAGTACTCTGTTCATGTCTTGACAAACCATGCTCCACTGATACCTTTGTTCCAGAACAAAAAACCTACTGGAAGGTTAGCCAGATGGACCTTGACTATCCAAGAGTTCAATCCTACCTTTGAACACTTACCTGGCAAGTCAAATGTAGTCACAGATGCTTTATCGCGACATGTTAGTATAGTAACTGCAGACCCTCCATTTACTGCCGAGGATGTAAAGAATGCTCAAAGAACAGATCCCATGTGGTCTGGTGTGATTCGATTCCTGCTCCAGGAAGATCTTATTCTGACTGTGAAGCCACCAGCATCCATCAGTGACTTTGTCATGAACCAAGAATTACTGTATTGAACAGCCGAGTTGGGTACTCCTAGCAGACAGGTATACCAGTTAGTAATTCCAGAGTCACTAGTGAATGTAGTCTTACAGCTAGTTCACGATGTACCAGGTGTTGCATACCCTGGTATGGATCATTCAATAAAACAAGCCAGATTGAAATACTTTTGGCCTCGTATGGCAACTGATATTTCTGAGTATGTTAAGAAATGTAGTGTCTGCATGCAACATAAACGTAATGTTAATGGTCCTATTCCAGTCCAGGTGTATCCAACTACTAGCAAACCGTGGGAAGGAGTTATGCTAGATCTGTTAACTAATTTCCAATGTTCCCTCCAGGACAACAAACGTCTGTGTGTTATGGTAGACCATTTCACCAGATATTGTGAGTTAGTTTCTATTGCAGTTAATACTGCTGAGATAGTAGCTAAAGCATTTAAAGAATGGATCATCTGCAGGCATACCACTCTTAAGTCCCTAGTAACAGATAATGGAGGTGAATTCTGTAATGAGATTCTTGAAAATTGTGTACCTTGTACAAGATCTCTAAATCCACCATTGTTCCTCATCATCCTGCCAGCAATGGCTTAGCGGAACGAACCAATAAGAAAGTACTTGATGTCTTGAGAGCCACTATCAATCCCAACAGTGAAACTTGGGACGAAGTTATATCTAATGTTCAGTGTGCCATAAATTCTGCTATCAATGTTTCTATCGGTGACACTCCACATTATGCATTGCACGGTGTAGATAAATGTTTGCCTTATGAGTTGCTATACTCTAACCTGATACCAAATTACAACCCTGATGATTTCATAGCATCTCGTTCCAGCTATGCTCAAAGTGTTTTTAGAAGAATCCGTGAAACACTTCATAAATCAACAGCAGAATTTAAAAGAGCCGCTAACATTCGAGCAAAGCCGTCCAAAATTACAGAGGTTCAAGAGTTATGCTGATTATCTATAACAAAACGTCTGCAGTGCCTAAGCTTGATCAAAAGTTTGTTGATCCTTATCTAGTAGTTGTACATATTAATGGCAATAAGTATAATGTTAGAGAAATTAGTACTGGTCCGTATAAAGAATCACATTTAGATCATATGAAGTTTGTATTGAGATCATGAGTTCCAACCAAAAATGGACGACTCTGAAAACCCCTCCTGTTCTTCCCTCTACCTCAATATTTAATCGGGTCAACCTGAAGTCTTTTTCCCTCATACAAACGGGTATAAAAAAATCCCAAGTATCTTTGTAACTCCAATTCAGATCAGCCTCAAACATGGCATATTTAGCCAGGCAACAGAGTTTGATCCCCCAGAGTGAAACCCTTCTGCATATTCAATTCACCCTAGCAGAGTTGGGGTTAAATGTAAATAACCTTTAATGAATAATTAGAGTATCAATATTAAATTCAAGTTTTTTTTTTGTGTTCACTTTTCTCTCCGAATTCTGAGTTTTTAACATCTAGTTTTGAGTGCCCCAGTCGCCTTTTCTGTTAAACACTTCTTTCTTTGTAAATTCCTTCCTCAAATCTGAAATCACATGAATACAGATCGTTTTGATAAAATTTTTTTATTACCCTTTCTGTTGTGAACTCAAGTTGATCTCATTCTACGATTTGGCTATAACAACCTGAAATCTTTGCAGTTTTTACTTCTTTTCTTCCAATTTTCCCCTTATTATTTATAATGTTCAAGTGTTGGTACTTTGACATTGTATAGAAACAGCCCCACCTTAGTTATGTCGGGACCATTTTACGTCCCCAAAGCTTCAGTAGTACCTCCCAAAAATCAGTTGCCAGGTCTTCCTTTTACAGCTGACCTTAGCATTTTTTGAACCTGCTCATCCCGGAACCACTTGTGAGGCAGTCTAAAGACGGGGAGGGAATGTAGGTCAGGCGGGGTGCTTCCCTATTTTCCATTTTAATCATACCCATTATTGCCTATGTGAGTATCCTTTACCCAATCCATTTTTTCGAACCCCCACATGCAGTAGTACGACTAGTATGGTAACATAGTAGCGTAGTGATAGTAGAATACGGGAAATATTGGGGTCCGGAATCTTGATCACTTTTAACGAAAGGGTAAAAGGATTAAAATATAATTAGACGTAAAAATGAGGTGTGGGATATTAATGACATGAAAAGTACAGTACATTAGAAGACGGGTTCTAAGCAGTTTAACTGCGATGAAACCCTTTTTGTATGGGAGATTAATTAAATGATTATGTGTATCATTATCATTTGATGGCTAACTGTGAGAGAGGTTCCCCTCTTTCTTTTTATCATGTGTTATTGTTTTTTTTGCTTGCAGGCTGCATGCAGAGAGTAAAGTCCATGACGCGTGGGGCCTAAAACCTGGGGAAACATGACGGAAAATTTTTCCCCTGAAGCCGGCCTTCCCTGCGGCCGGCCGGGTCTCATTTTTGCAGTCCTCCCACCCTCACTATAGGATCCTCGTTGCACTCGCTCTGGCCAGGTACACGAAAAAAATTTTTCCCTCGAGCGCGAAGTTACCCGCATTCGTCGGGGAAAAATTTGTTTGAGATGGCTTTGCCTATAAAAACCCGTTGTGTTTCGTGACTGTATATCACTGACCTAGGGCACGGAAGGGGTCAGGAGAGGTCGTGTATCTGTCTGTACCCCTCGGGCTTTTTTGGGGGGACAGCCACTAAGGAAATAATTTATGGATAAGTTCGGTAAACAAACATCTCTTAAACATCTTGGGGGTTAAGAAGTTTTTGGGGGAAGGTTCTGATTTTCTTTCCCGTGGACTTTTAGGGGATTGGGGATTACTAACAGTGTTGTTGGGGACATCTCTTTGGGATTATAAAAGGAGGGGGTGAGGGTTGCCAAGTGCAATTTTGAGGGGGCCCATAAAAAAAAAATAAAGGTTTTTAAAAAAAAAATTTGATTTAAAAATTCGAGGGAATCAAAGACAACCCAAAGGGTCTTTCAGATATTTAGAATTTTTTTGGAACAATTTTGGGGAAAAAAGATGGCCTACAAAAATGAAAAATCGGGTCAGTATTACGTTAGAAACAAAAAAATGTGTCTTTTTTTTAAACATTTTTTCCTTTCTATTTTTAGAAAAAAGATGAAAAATTCAATCTTAAAAAACAATAATTTTGGAGGAAAGGAAAATATAAATTACTCAAGATCATGTTATTAGTGACTTGGCCCAACAAAGGGTTAATTTAAAAATCTCTGGAAAACCTTTTTCAAAATTATTAAGGAATGTAACGAAATCTTAGTAAATCTCTTCACTAAATCACTCAAATGAATATCGTCCCAAAAGTCGAAAAGGCAAAATTGTTATCTGCAACGGAAGATAAGGCGTTAGTTTCAGACTTTAACCCAAATTAGTTAACTTAAATTTTTTTGGAAAGTTGATGGAATCAAAAACTGAGGACGAAATTCAAAGCTCCCTTTGAAAAATAAATTTGAATCAATGTTTCATGATTTATAAAGGGGACGTTCCGTTTTATAAAGTACTATGCTTTTTACTAAGGGTTTTCTGAAGGGTAGATTAAATTAAAGAACACGAAAACCTGTATATAAATTCCCAGAAAGCTTGATATGGTCGATCGGGAGATTTTTAAGAAAATAGCAGCACACGGAATAGGTGGAAAATTTTCCCGGGGAAAGGTTATTTAACGAAAAAACAAAAATTTTGCAAAAGGGAAAAGAAAACAAGCGGGAACCCCCTGCTTTGGGCCTTTTATGTTCAAAATATAAATAAATGGCTTAGATATGGGAAGTAGGGATGACACTATGAAAATTTTAAAAATTTCTGAGAGGACACAAGAGAACAGCAGAGTGCCTAAAAGTTGGTGTGGCTGGGGAAAACGGAAGATCATTTAAAAAAGACAAAGGTAAGGTCTGTTCCACGGAAAAGAAAGGACCTAACACCTAAACCTAAACGAGTGGGTCTCAATAACTAAATGCAAAAAACTTTGGAGTCCTATTAGCAGCAATCAAAAACCAAGAAAACAGGCAAATGTGCAAGAACCCGAAGAATTTTTGATTTCTATCAAGAAACATAAAAAAGGGAGTCACCATGTTAAACTTAAAATTTATGTACCATTTAAGGCTTTTTTAAATTTGCCCACAGTTTTGGTCTTCATACTAAAGAAAAACAAAAATGCACGGAAAACATGCAGGGGAGAATGACGTTTTTTTTTTTATTTTTATTTAAAACAAATATACATAAACCATAAAAAGAAAAAAAAACCCCAGCCGACAATTAAAATAAAAAAACCGTGGCAGACAATGTCTAAACACCAAAACACAAAAAATTTTTAAACCCCCATTAAATAAAAAAATTCAAACTGAAAAAAAACCCAACCAGTTTAGGAAAAAAAACATACCGACTTCCAAACAAACGTGGGATCTTTAAAAAAACATGTAGGGGGCGGGTAGCTGCGGATTTTCAATTATAATCCGGATCAAGGGGCTGACCGGGTTTAAACTAAACCAGACTTATTGTAAATTTTCCCGGGGAAGATTCCAGGAAGCGAGAAGACTTTTCGTGAAACCATTTCAAGGAAAATTTGGGGAAGTGTTGTGCATTTGAAAAATTTTTGGTGAGGGGTGGTAGGGGGAAAAAGGGGCCAGTGGAGGGGTGGGGGAGTAAAAGCCTACACTGTTTATGATCCCGGGCCCCAAGATTATCGTACATATAAACCTCGAAAAGCCTTTAAAAAACTATATCCAAAACCATGCACCAGCTTCCATTAACTTGGAAAAAGTTGTGTCGATGCAGGGGGTATTTAGAGGGATATGTTATGAAAAACAATGTGAAATTTAAAGTTTTCGAGGGAGTGACCATCCCGGCATCCACCCCCACGTCAGGGGGGGGTGAAGAGGCGGGGTTGAATGGGTGGTAATAGTGTGATGAAAAAATTGGTTCCATGCCCATACCCACATTTTTCTTTTGTGTACATGGGAAAAAATAAAGTTAATTATTGAAAGACGTGGAACAATAATTTGTCGCAAGTCCATGTGTATTGTACTTTCCCCGGGTAACCCCCTCAACAACCTGCGCCTCCCCCCAATTCCCCGGGGAAGTTTTCCCCCTTTCCCCTCCCAGCCCCTCAAACTCCACCCGCCACAACGGTCAAGTTCACTACCTTCCCCGCACCATACCCACCCAGCTGTATATTCCACTCCTATTTCTATTAGCAGATGGTGCCAACCAGGAGGAAGCAAGCCCAGGGGAAAGGCACGGTTTCAAAACTAGGGAGGCAAGTGTCGCACTTACGCTTTGTTGTTCAACTCGAATGGTTTCCTCCGCAAAAAACGGTAGTTGCCCTGTTCAGGATTCCTCCTGGGAAAGTATGATCCAGGCCATCTCAGGCACCTAAAACCCCCTCCAACAATTTCTTCATCAGACAATCTCTTGGAAGCAATTAAAGCAACAGGGCCAGGACACCAATATTCCCCCAAAACAGCCCGCCACCGAAAGGGGAAACTTACAGACCTCCTGAAAAAAATAAACATGGTTCCACTATCTTAAATGCTCCACCAACCCCAAAGGGATGGCACAACTTCTACTTTTGGAATGTCGCTTTGCTTCCCGGGAAAAAAGGGGGGAAAAAGGAGCCTCAAAGTAATTTTAAACCTTAAGAGTTTTCCTAGAGTTGAAACCTCATTCGCCTTCCCCGCAACACAAAAAGGGGGGGCAGAACCCCCCCCCACCTCTGACAGTGAAAAAGTCAAGTCCAGGTGGCAAAAAAATTGAAAGGGCAAAAACAGTGGGGCAATAAGAATTATTACCGTGAAATCAGTTGCTCCCCGGGGCTGACACGGGTGAAGACTTAAGGAAAGCACCCTGCCAGGGAAACCAGTGGACCAACAGGTCCAACACCTCTGTCCCCACTTGGGGAAACCCTTGATAGGGAAGACTCAGACATTTACAAAACAATAAAGTCGTTCCCATCTGGGTCTGCTGGGGGGTTTCACTGGGGTAAAGGCCCCCAGCATTTAAAGGAAAAGGTTAAACCATTATTGGGGGGAAATTGCGAGACACGCTTTTAAGATCACAAGGTTCATCAACAAATTTCCTTGGGTGGTCTGATCCCCGATGAAATTAGACCTTTCTTTTTTGGTGCAACACTTTGTGCACTTAAAAAGAAGATGGGGGAATTTGGCCCAAATTTCAGTAGGCAAAACCCCTTACGCCGCCCCGATCCAAAACTGCTGTCCGAATATTCGTGCACAGGGAGCCAATGCTTCAACCAAACCGCTTCTTTGGGGGCTCCAAGGAAGTGAAGCACGGGTTTATGCAACAAGGGGGATACAAAAACCTGCCTGAGGACAATGCGGGAAAATTAGATTTCAAGAATCGTTCAACTCCCGAAAAGAGCTGTATAGCAGCAGTACAAAAACATTTCCCTGGTCTCTTCCCCTTTTTTTCAGCCGGGTATAGAAGGAATCAATGCTTCTCTTTGGGAGCATGAAATTTCTCATCGGGGGGGTCCAACAAGGGGACCTCTTGCACCTTTTTCTTCTGTATACATTAGGGGAAAACACAGTAAATGACCAGCGAGCTAAACATCTGGTTCCCAATGATGGCACACTAGCAGGGACAAAAGATCCCCCCTACAGACCTTTCACAGAATGACACGGGGACAGGAAAAGGGGGCCACCTGAATCCTCCAAAAGTGAAATCATCTCAGTCAGTCCAATGTAAATCAGTAATCAAAATTACCAGGAGCACGTCATTCCCCCACAAAAAAGGGTTTTCTAGGAGCACCTCTGGGAAGCAATCATGACCAATTTTCAGGAAGAAATTGGGAAAAGTTTAAAGGGGATGGAAAAAGAATAGGCAATCTGGGCACCCACAATGCCTTGTACCTTTCAAAAAGTGCTTGAGTCGCCCAGGTTGACATAAATTTCCAAGATGTGCACCTTCATAATTAAACCATACTGCACGAATATGACAGTATTCTGAGGCGATTTTTTTCGAAAATATTAACCTTACTCTAGAAGACGGGCAGTGAACCAAGCTACACCCTGGGGGGAGGATTGGGGGGGTTTTCCCCAATCATCACAGATTGCGTTACCCGCTTTTCTGTCCCCCGTTATTGCATCCGGGCTGAAACAGCATTCTCCCCAAATCTTGGGACAGAAGGAGTCCAGGGCCCAAAAAATTTATTGACGGAGCAATGATCTGGATAATCTAAGGGCTCTGGAGCCACCTGCTCCCCCAACAACTACAAGCAACGCACGGGATGGTCCAATGTGGAAAAAATTGCCTCCAATGCTTTAAGTGGTCAGGGAAGGATAAGCCCGCCCCCCTGGGAGGAGAGCCCCTCATCTGGGGACTTTCTGTTGGGGTGTTCCCAACTCCAGCCTTGGGGACAGTCTC